GTAGATCGATCTTACCCAATTAGAGCATTGATGACAAATAAATGTCTAATTCTAAATTTTGTCAAATTTAGTATATGGGATACATTAAATGTCACGTCGTATGATTTCACAGTGTTTATTTATAATGTACATTATTAATCATTATTAATCAATATGTGACATTTAACCATGTGGTATTTAATGGTCTCCATTTAATTTGATTACTGTCCAATAACGATAAGAACTTGGTTTATTTTATATCGACAACGCATGGTTCGGCATTTTATTTCTCCATATTAGGATTTTAACCGGAATTAGTATTATTAAATACATATATTTAATTCGGATAATGTCTAATATTTGATGAGTGATATATTTAAACATTTGAAGAGATATTTAACGTTAGCAATGCTATATTATTATATAAAAATTAAAGTTTCATTATAATCGAAGCCAAAGATAAAATTGAGATCAAAATTTTTTTTTCTTTCTTTTTAAAAACCTGAAAGATCGATTATACAATAGCCTATCGACTAATTTCTCCATTAAGGAAATCTTAAATATTTAAGATGCACGAATTAAACCTTAATATGATTGCTAAAGATCATTTGATATTTCACTTATCATACTAATACTCATAGAATATTACTAATGCTCTTTACAAGTTTATAAGAAATTTTGGTTAGGATATTTATTTGTGTTTATTTACAAATTGACGCCAATTTTAATAAATACTTTGAATGTCAGTAATAGCATTAAGAAAACGATTAATATAATTTTACAGTATGTACAGTACACAACAAAAATTGATATACGCGTTTTGTGTAATAAAGTTTACGTGCAATGGATCACCAACCCCAAATATGTAATCCTTACTTTACAAAGGATGTGAGTTTATACAATTGTGTGTAGCAAACTTAAATGGATGGAAAAGAAAATAAGCGGATAACCGCTATAAAATAATAGGTATACCCCCTTTCGTTATTTAAAATTAAAGATTCAATTTAATTACAATGTCTGAAAGAGAAATAATGTCAGAGACAGTTAACGAATCTACTCCACTTTTATCTAATGACGAAACCTCAAATCGTTCGATAATAAAAAATCCTTGGTATAAAACTCCTTCATCGTATTGGGCGTTATTTTTATGTACTGTGAATGCTTTTTCATTTGGATTAATACTTACATCAAGAGTAGAATTTTATGTACAAGTTGTTTGTAAATACTATTATAATTCGAAGGATTTCAATGATGTAAACAATATTGATAAGTGTAATATTCCGGAAATTCATGCTATTACTTCGCAATTGATGATGGTACTGACTCTCTGTATAGCGCTGCCAGGTAAATTTATTTTCTAAAAGTTTCTACTTAGCACAAACTTGTGATGAAATAATGCATTAAACCTCATTTGCTTTAGGAATCTTTGTACTAGTACCGTTTGGCGCACTCTCTGATCGCAAAGGACGTCGTTTAGTCATTCTTATTGCATTTATAGGGAGGGTCTTGGATTTTTCGAGCATTATTTTAGTTGGAAATTATATAGAATCATTTGGAATAGGATTCTTGATAGTTGGACAGCTTATGGATGGATTGTTGGGCGGGTACCCTGCAATGACGGCTGCGATGTATGCATATGCTGCTGATTGTACAACTTCAGAACGAAGGTATGCATATATTTGTTTTCCTTACTTTCTTTCTTATTATTCAATACTTTAAATATATTCCCTTTTCTTAGAAGAGTCATATTTGGAATGATGCATGGCGGGTTACTCTTAGGAATCGGTATAGGTCCTATTATTGGCGGAATGATAACCGAATTCACCAATGATCTCCTTTCTGTATTCTACGTTTCAATCGTAATATTCATCTTAGTCATCCTCTTTGTTCTTTTTATCATGCCCGAATCACTTTCAAAAGAAAGACAACTTTATAATCAAAAACATCAACATAATGATAACAATAATATATTTAAAAAATTTTTAAATATATTTACACCATTATCGATTTTCTTTTCAAATAATTTACACAATAATGAAAGATTTCAAAATGATGAAAATAGAGAAAAGGTTCCAGTAATAAATGCGGGAAAATATTCATTATTAGCAACTGCTGGCATAAGTTTAATGATTGCAACCTCATATGCTGGTATCCAAACTATAATTTTTCTTTACATTAGATATAAATTCGAATGGTCATTAGTCGATCAAGGATATTTGTTTGGAGCAATGTGCCTCACAAGAGTTGTTGTTTTAATGTTCCTGTTCCCGCTCTTTGTTAAGACGTTTAAAGAGAGACAGGAAAGGATTGATAATCGAAATGTACAACCACAGAGAGAGGATAATGATAACATAGTGATTGAGAATAATAAATTAGTTCAAGATGAAAAACGAATGAATAGAGAGTTAGTGTTTGATCTTTGGGTCATTAGAACCGGATTGGTTATTGATGTTATTGGCTATGTTATGTATGGAATGGCAACCAATGGAACAACGTTTTTTGCAGGTAACTTTTCATTTTTAATATTACGTTGATCTTAGTTTAAAAGGCGAAATAATTAAGAATTGCATAAGATCTTAATTGTTATTAAATATAAAATTTTAGTAAACTTATTCTTAATAACAATACTAATTTACAAATTTATTAATATCTTATTTCTCTTATTTCAGGAGCTTGCTTTAGTTCTGCAGGCATAATTTCAATACCTACCTTAAAATCTCTTCAAACAAACTTAGTCCTTCCATCACAAACGGGAGTGTTATTGGGTGCACTTAGTGTGTTGGAATCTGTTACAAATGTAATTGGACCGATAGTATATAATACTTTATATAGCATTTTGGTTATCGAGGAGATGCCACATTTGATTTGGTACGGAATTTCTGCATCGTTCATAATTGGATGTTTAATTTCCTTTTCAATTAGAGCCGTAAAAAGTAAAAATAGGAATGTTGAAATGGGTGATGTTACATCATCATGAGTTTGCAATTAAATGAAAAAAATCACAATATAATGTACTTTTTACGAACATTTTGTTATAAAAATAAATATGTATTATATCATTTATTATGACATTACAAAATGGTATTAACATTCTTTATAATTACATCCCATATAAAAATCTGGTTCGTATAAAAAGTCATTAGGGTACTACGTATATATTCTAGACCTTCTGAAAAAGGTAAGAACTGTTATACGTACGTACTGTACGTACATGGATATTTTAATGAGATTTTACATAACAATTTATTATGGTAAGAGAAAACCTGTTTATTTTAAATATGAATTTAGCGTTAATAACTTCAAATTGCGTTTTTAAACTTTATCTAGGTAATATTTACATTGGGAATTTTCAGATTCAAGGTATTCATTCTCAAGCACTTCCTCAATGTGATTTGTTTGTGACCGAGATGTTGCGATTAAATTGAAACATTTCTCGTAATGATTTGCTTAAAATTATTGAATGAATGACAAATTTTAATTTAGCCAATATAGTCTGTGTCTCCCAATTTTTTTGCTAATGATTGACAAATTAATTGTGCGAAATGAGGATTTAAATTTTAGCTAATCAGAGTAATTCTATGAAAAGCCTTCATAGTTCTTAGTATAAGATGGATGCCTAAATTAATTTTGGCTTGCCGTAATGGTAAATAAAAATTGCCGAATTATTTTCAGATGTTAAAATTATTTTTTGGCGTCATTGTGCGTAAATTTTAATTGACAATATTTTCAACAGTTTTTTTCTTTTATCTTATTATCTCATTTCCTGCAAAACAGTTACCACATTTTTATCGATTACTACATTTTCTTGCACGTTATTGTTTAATAATTATTTTTTAGTGGTAACCTTGATCTAATTCTTTTTACTTATTTTGCTTTTTAATTGGATGCATGTCCGGGAATTCAATATATATAGGCCCACGAAAATTGTTTCTCTCCTGTAATTTTTAACCAATCAAAATTCAAGCTCAGGTGGTAATGTGACATTCAATAAGCTGCATATATTAAATTAAGCCAATAAAATCGCATTATAGTTAGGATTAGGGTTAGAACAATGCAGCTAATATAAGCGAAATTTCACAAGGAACATTCTTAATTAGGCCGCAGAAGTGGTTTTCTAATTAAAATTTCGAGCTATTCTTTTTTTTTTTTTTTGTACTATAAAAAGTGGTTTTCGTTTTGATTTTTATGTTTGCATCTGATCTTTAAATTCGATTGGCAGGAGTGGGCAATCAGGGTGCATTTACTACAATAAATTAAGTGTTTATTTTTTCGGGCACAACCGAAAATAATTACGACAGTCGAATCATTTTTGGCAGCCAAAATATTACAGCAGCCGAAAATAATTTCGGCATTGAAGTGCTGCCGAAAATATAGAGTGGTCTAATCGGCTAAAAAAGTAAATCGTGATTAGTAATGGATCGGCCTCGAAATGACCGGGACCGGACTGTAACGGACCGAGAACTGAATGATTTTCGGTCCTCGGCTCTTCATAATCCAAACAATAGTCCTAGCTGGTAAAAAAGTAAATAAAAAATAGAATTTTTTTCTATTCTTTCCAATAGTGGTCGATAATAAGATTTTTTCATTTTCCAATATTTCTCAAATATTGTGACGCACAGTAATATTAGTATAAATTAATTCCTAATGAAATAAGCATCGACGTCTCAACTCAACTTCAGTAATAAAATTGCTAAACTTCAATATTCAGTAGTAAAAAATCAAAATTATAGATATTTGATCTGGGATCCGATCAACTCACCGACAATCATTTCGTAGACACCACATTTTCACTGACAATTACTTGCCGAAAAGTTCATTTCACCGACAGTTTATTTCACCGAAGCTCGTTTTATAGACAAGCAATTCTGGTCAATATCATTGGGTTAGGTTAGAATTAGAGTTAAAGTTAGTGTAATTATAAAAATAAACTTGTCGGTGGAATGAGCTTCGGTGAAATATGTTGTCGGGTAAACCGCACTTGTCGATGAATTATTGTTGGCGAAATGTGGTGTCTATGAAGTGATTGTCGGTGAAATAATACTGTACGAACCCGTTTATGGTGTAGCAAGTAATTTACGACATGAACTAGAGAAATATTATTGCCGTTTAAAGATATTTCGAATCCGTTAATATGGTGACAAGTACAGAAAGAATATCCTATCATCGCTTTAATTGTAAGTGATTATTTGTCCGTACAAACCACTAGTGTGGCTTCAGAGCTATAGCCATTCTTACTATTTCAACCAAAAGAAATAGATTAGTTGATGAATCTGCAAGGGCAATGCTGTGCCTCAGAAGTTGACTTAAAAAGGAGTTTGTAATTTGCCGGATATCCGTTTTGATGTATCCATTTTATAAAAGCTATATTTGGATAACTAGCAGTTTTAGCTTGCGGATATCTGATAAATCCTACGGATAACCAGATAACCTTCCAGATAATTATACGGATATCCAAATAAACCGGATAACCTAGGATATCACGAGGTCAGATACATTGATTGTTAATTGGATATACACTCAAAGAGTACCTTTAACAATTCAGGACGTAATCATCACATATTTTATAGCCAATCATACACAATATCGTAATGAAGTAATATTCGCGTAGACATTTCAGTCATAATACAAAACTATAGATGTCTGTTACAATATATATATATGGTCATCTATTTAACGCTCCCGGGTATCATAGCCGTGGATAGTTTCTGATAAGTCAACTTCTTCATTTTTTTCATCTAAACCTATATATATATATATTCTGCTTCGTGCACTTTTATCAAATTTTCTGTTCCATCAAGTTGCTTAATTTATTTTTTCCAATTAAGTTCTCTAAAATTTAATGATAGAAATTTATGAAAGTTTACTTACTTTGCATATTGAAATATCATCAATAGTTGTATTTTAAGTTGTATAAAGATCATTTATTAATTAACAAAATTAACATCAGAAAAACAAGTCAAGATCATAAATACTTATTTATAAATTATTTATTGCAAAATTAAAATCAGCAAACAAGTTCATAAATTAAGATTAACCATTAAATACAAATAATTCGCATTAATTGAATTAATAAGTAATGTATAAAGATATTTTATCAATCGGTGGAATTAAATGAGCAAAGCAATTTCACAAATCAAGATCTTAAAATATTTAGTTGCAATTCATTTCATTTAGTTCGTGAGTATAAAGATTAATTTCAATAGTGCATTTTTCTAGATTACAAGTGGGTTCTGTCATAATCAACTAAGTTCCAGAAAAGTAATACTAAACAAAAATAATACATTTTTATAACAAATTTATACCTTCAGATTATTACATTGTTACGTGTGATACATGTTGGTATGGTTGTTAATGGAGCACTCCAGTCACATATAACCCACTCCGGAGTACTCCAGAAGTGGGTTATATGTTTTATTAATATCTGGAGTACTCCATTAACAACCAGCTTGAGATCTGGAAATTTGTATAGTACAAAATTTGATTAATCGATAAATATAAATTTTTTTGTTTGATAAAAGAATAAATATTATAAAGGTTTAAAAATGGCTAAAAGACTGGCAATTTATATACCGTGAATTAAAATAATAAAGCTTAACATGTAAAATGATTCATTATATTAAGATCACATGAATAAATATCCTGATCTTTTGAGAATTAGAGGAAATTTCATTCTGATAACTTTCTGAGTATTATCCAAAGTTATTCTATCGTTTATTACATATTTGCCCAGAGAAATCTAGCCTACTATAAATTTACTTACACAATGTGGTAGCGAAAGAAATAACAACACATACGATAATGATGGGATGAATAACAAATAATGTTACAAAAGAATTTGAAATAGATACAAAATATAAACAAATAACAAAAGTTTAAGGAAATTTGTTAGATTTTAAAGTAGAAAACAGGCACAGCTTATGAAAATACGTCACATATATTGACCAGATACGATTAGTACCTTGTGTGACAAATAATACGGTTCAATTTTTTTTAAAAATAACATTTATAATAGCAATGTTAATGTGGGTGGCTTTGCTATGCTGAGTCAATATCAAAGCCTATGTTTACCAAATAAAAAGATATAGTACGATTGTTTATTTTACCTATTAAAAAACATAAAAATAAAAATAATTGATTAGAACCAAAAATATTTCGTGAACATCAATAATAGTGAATAGTAAATCTATGCAAACGCAATGATGGCGCGTAACCGACCACTGACCAAAGAGCGCAACCACCATCACTCGGGGCAACCGACCACTGCAAACCCTTGAACAACCGACCACTGCACAAGAGCTCCCTTTGCATATGTAACATATTTAGAGAAAAAAAAAATACAGGACCTTTTCATGAATTTCATCATAGCTTTCTGGAATCACTTCTTTTACGACCCTTAGGAATCTACTTTCCCATGCTGTCTCCAAACCACACCAATTGTTGCCATTAATTTTGCTCAGCGTATAGCAGAGGTAAAAGGGTCGAACCGTGAGAGATTCAGAATTTAAATACTATTTTAAAAAAAGAAAAAAAAAAAGGGAGAATTAGTAATAAAGTACTAAAAATAAGATCAATCAATTACTCAACTTAGTGAATACAACAGGTATATAAAGTTCTCCCGCCACTCTATACAACTATACTCCACGCTTCTAATGCTAAATATTCCAGATAAATTTCACGATTCGTAGAAATATATCTAAGAATATTGCTACAACACCTTTGGAGTGTTCACGATTCGTTTAACACATCCAACAATGCTAGCCTTCGTAAAATATTTGATAAAATTTCACGATTCGTAGAAATAATTCAAAAAATGGTACGGACCCACGGCAACTTTTGACTTGTCAAACGAATTGAAACGTGCCTAAACAAATCAACATGCCCATGTGAACCCTATTCACAATTAAAAATCATAGAGTTCATGGCAATTCCGATGTAACTCTCTTTTTGCAAAGATGAAATACGGCCAGAAGTGCCAGGTTAGCGATCGGAAGCGTGTTATATTAATACCTTCTTTAAGCAGTTCAAGGAAAGTTCATAACTGATCCCTCATGCAGGACCAGTAGACCTCAAGCCTGCCAAAAAAATATTAGTTGTGTGACACATTAATATTAATCGATACTTACTTTTTATATCGCGTACTTAATGTTGCCTTCTGATTTCTCTGGATTTACGTGTCTCATTTCGTTTGTTGTTTTAACAATTCTGCATTCAACTAATCTAGTTGATCTTGCAGGAGTACTGGCACAGTAATAATACGAGCAAATAAACATGTCAATACGAATAAACATAAATTGTCGTTTTTATAGATCAGAAAACAATTCAAAATTTTGTTGTGACCACTTACGTACCT